ATTGATAAAGCATGGTAGAACACACAATGTGTATGGCTAACTAAGAAAACACACGTGTCTAGCGGTAAGCAAATTGTGAGAACAACACAGCTGCACATGGAACCCCCCCCACCACGTAAACTCAGAAATGCACCTACGGGTCTCCTCAATACCCACATCCGTCTCAGGCCAGTGTGGGAGCAAGGAAGTGGGATGAACACGTGCAGTGGGAAACAAGGGAACACTGAACACCCTGGTGGGTAAAAAAAGTAGGAGGAAACATCCCAGTAACTCCATTGCTTCTGCCAGCAAGCACTACGGCTATGCAGGGATTCTCAGAAACCTTTATGAGAGGGAAATCCAATTGTAATTGTAAACTGACATTATAACACCAATTGTTACTGATTTCACATGTACTCGAATGTCTAGATGTGTGTTCTATTTAGTAAATCTTCTAAATGATATCATCATGAAAATAAAAAAAGAAAAAAATTGGCTTCTTCATGATGTCAGCCACACTAATTCTGTCTTCTCAAAGTGTGACAGTTCTTCCACCATCATTTCTGCCACTCAGGGCATGTGAGGCACTTAATCCTCTTTCTCCTCATGGATTAGCCCTGGAGCCATCGGACAATGATCATCTTTCCAGTACTTCATTTGCCTGTCATCAAATAAAGGTAACGGCCTTGAGCAATAACACATTGTCATGCTAAAAATCCAAAAGGTTTAATTTCCTATGTCACAGTGTTCAATGTTACAAAAGTTTTAATCATCAAATTAGTGAGTAATTGGACTGTTTCAGATATTTTCAGTATTTTAGTTAATTGATGAGTTATTCTTAGGTGCCCACAGTAAAAAAAGTAAAAAACTAAATTTATTACTTTGTATGTAACTAAAAATCCTGAAACCGGCAGTTATCAAATTATAAACTCCTCTTTTTGAAAAAAATAACTTCTCTTGTTTTCTTCATTTCCAACTTCAAAAACATCCATGTTAATATCATTAGTAGGGAGTGTTTTAGAACATGACTTAAAACCGGGAGTGACGCAGCAATCCTGGACCCACAAATTCATAAAGCTATGGTCCTGGACCTGTACTCAAATGTTTCATGTCAGTTTTCTCATTTGGGAAATTGACAACATCTAGGCCAGCATTTACTACACGTAGTTGTTGTACATGTGTATACCTGTTTATTGAGGTATATGGTTTCTACATGCCAGTCATTCAATCACTATTACTAATGATAGAGACTACTGATTATAATTATTTCATATATACACACATGGATTTTTGTTAATGTACCCTATATCATGTTCAATATTTTTAAGCCCAGGAACTCTTAAGTGTTATTACCACGCTTTCTTTTCACATCCATCTATTTGAATATTAAATTATGAATACTTCTAAGTAGAAAAATTTCAAACTACCGTTTTTTTCATCATATGTCTAAATTGACTATCTGGTCAACAGTGTATAAATTATAACTCATAAGAAAGTAGGCAGCTAGGAAAATAATCAACATTAAAAACATCATACAACCTAAGGAACAGAAAATTGATACACAATTAGCCCAACTAACCAAAAAAAAGCAAAATAAAGGGAAAAGACCCAAATTTATAAAATTAGAGATAAATAAAGAGAAGTTACTATGGATACCACAGAATCAGGACTCACTACAAACAGCTATATATGAACAAATTGGAAAATCCAGAAGAAATGGGCATATTTCTGGATACATACAATCTAACAAAACTAACTCATGAAGACAAAGAAAACCTAAATAGATCAATAAGCAAGACGGAGGTTCAAGCAGTAATACAGGCCCTCCCAACAAAGAAAAGCCCAAGACCGACGGTTTCATTGCTGAAAAACTAATTCCAGTTCTTCTCAAACTATTCAAAACAACTGAAGGAGGGAATCTTCCCAAATTTCTTCAATGCGACCAGCATCTCCTTAATTCCAAAATCAGAAAAATATACAAAGAATAAAACTATAGGCCAATATTGCTGATAAACATAGATGCAAAACTCTTCAATGAGATGCTAGCTAATTGAATCCAACAACACTTCAGAAAGATCATTCACCCATATGGTTCCACATATGCAGGAGTGGTTCCACATTAACAAATTGAATACAAACTATATGATTATCTCCACAGATGCAGAGAAAGCATTTGATAACATACAATATCCTTTCATGATAAAAACCTTAAGCAAAATGGTATTGAGGGAACATTCATTACCACAGTAAAGGCAATACATGACAAAACCAGAGCCAGGATCATACTGAATGGGGAATAATTGTAAGCATTTCCCTAATACCTGAAACCAGACTAAGGATGCTCACCCTCACCACTGCTATTCAATACAGTTCTGGATGTTTTAGCCAGAGTCATTAGGCAAGAAAAAGAAATCAACAGGATTCAAATTGGAAAGGAGGAAGCCAAATTATCCTTGTTTGCAGATGACGTGATTCTATATATAGGGAAAGCAAAGACTCCATCCACTAAGAGGATACTGGAACTCAAAACAAAGGTTGGTAAAGTTGGAGAATATAAATCAACACACAAAAATAAAGCCATTGTATAGACAGACAATGCCATGGCTGAGGAAGAATTTGTAGTATCAGTCTCATTAACAATAGCTACAAAAAAGTTTTAAAATGTGTTAGAATAAATTTAACCAAGGATGTAAAAGATCTTTTACAATGAAAGTTATAAAACATTAAAGAAAGAAATAGAAAAAGACATACAAAAGTGAAAAAAAAAACTTCAATATTTGCGGATCAGAAGAATTAATATCATCAAAATGCCCATACTACTAAAGCCATTTAGAGATTCAATGCAATCCAGATGAAAGTAAGACACTCTTAATAGATCGGTATCATCACTAGAGCTGCAATTCATATGGACACACAAGAGATTCTGAATATCTAAAGCAATCTTGACAAAAACAGATGGGGTATCACAATAGCAAATTGTAAGACATATTATATAGCAGTTATCAAAACAGCCTGGTACTGGCACAAAATTAGACATGTAGACCAATGGAACAGAATAGAAAACCCAGAAGTTAGTCCACACAGCCACAATCAACTAATATCTGAAAAATGGGCCAAAATCAATCCCTGGAGAAAGGGCAGTCTCTTCAACAAATGGTGCTGGGAAAATTCACTCTGCATGTGCAGCAGCATTACCCAAAACACCTACCTTAAACCCTACACAAAAATCAACTCACAGTGGATCAAGGATGTCGTGCCCCGGGAGTGCAGTGGAGGATGGCCAAGTGCTTGGGCCCTGCACCCGCATGGGAGACCAGGAGAAGCACCTGGCTCCTGGCTTTGGATCGGCGCAGTGGACTAGCCGTAGTGGCCATTTGGGGGGTGAACCAACGGAAAAAGAAGACCTTTCTCTCTGTCTCTCTCTCTCTCTTTCTCACTGTCTAATTCTGCCTGTCAAAAAATTTTTAAAAAATAATAAAAAAATAAATCTACAACCTGATATATCAAATTACTTACTCTGCAAGACATTGGCATAGAAAAAGACTTGGAAAAGAAGGCAGAAGCTCACATGATAAAAGCCAAAATAAACAAATGAGGTTATATCAAGCTAGAGGCTTCTGCACTGCAAAAGACACACTCAACAAAGTGAGGAGGTGACTGACAGAATCGGAGAAAACATTTGCAAACTCTGCAGGTAATAAACTGTTAATATCCAGGATCTATAAAGAGCCCAAGAAACTCAACAACAACAAAACAAATAACCAGTTAAGAAGTGGACTAAGACATGAATAGGTGTTTTTCAAAAGATGAATTTCAAACGGCCAACGATGCTTGGAATCTCTAGCCATCAGAGCAATGCAAATTAAAACCATAATGAGGTTTCACCTCACCCCAGTTAGAATGGTTAGCATCAAAAAATCAAAAAACAATAAATATTTTTGAGGATGTGGGGGGGAAGATACCCTAATCCACTGTTTGTGGGTATGTGAACTAGTATAATGATTATGGAAGACAGTATGGAGATTTCTCAGAAATCTAAAAATAGATCTACCATGTGACCCAGCAATCCTACTCCTGGGAATTTAGCCAAACTAAATGAAATCAGCATTTGAAAGAGTTACTTGTATCCCCATGTTTATTGCAGCTCAAGGCACTATAGTTAAGAAAGGAAATCAACCCAGATATCCATCAACTGATGGCTAGATAAATAAAATGGGTAAATATAAACTATGGAACACAACTGAGCCACGAAAATGAATAAAATCCTGTCTTTTGCAACAAAATGGGTGTGAATGGAAACCATCATGCTTAGTGAATTAAGTCAGTCCCAAAAAGATAAATGTCATATGTTTTCTCTGATACATGGCAGTTAATATAGAATACAAAAAATGTATGGGAATGAAATGACATCTTGTCATGATTGCTGGTTTTAGCCCTTATTTATATTCATATGGAACTGCGATCTTCCTACTTTTTACCTGTTGGATATATGGTTAGTGGCATATTAATCTTGTGATTACAGAGTGGATCAAAATAATGTCTTTGCAAAAATTAAAGAAAAAAAAGGTAGGATGGAAAGGGAAAGTAAGATAGGGAGAGAGGGAGGGAGGGAAATATTGTTATCTTCTTAGAACTGTACCTATGAAATATATGAAATCTGTTTTCTTTATATTAACCATAATAAAACATAAAAAAGTAAACAGGGTAGAGAAATGTAAATAGGAGAATTAAGGGAAATAATTACAAGAAGATTGATAGGAACTTAATTATATATTATATATTATAGTGTATTAGTATATAAAATGATATCAGCATTATTTATGTCTCTATATAGAAAATTAAAAAAGTATATTCATGAGCTTTGCTCTTTTTCTCCAATATTTTAAATGCTATTCCAGTTCATAATTGGTGCTTACATTTTGCCTCATGGGAACTTTCAGAATGTTTTATACAAAACACATCAGAAAATGACAATTGAACAATAAAGATTAAAAGCACAGGACACTGTCAGGTGCACTTACTCGTATAGGTGAGCTGGAAGCCCTGGTCGGTGTCTGAGCCATTGGTGTTGAACTCCAGCCACAGGTGATTGGAGGTGCTGTTGAGGGTCAGGCCCAGGAGCTCACTCTTGGTGAAGGCACCCAGTGGCCGAGACGAGCTGTCTTTTCCATCGTAAACCTAATGGAAACCCACAGCGTGAGTGCCCTGCTTCTCAACTGTGCTCTTACGGTAGTAATTTTAACAACACATTCAGTTCTTCATAGATGTGGTTTCATGTGGTTTTGTACCATGTTTTGCAAAAAAGTGAATGCATATAAATGAAACTGACCCTTTGGGATTTGATTATTCTTTACAGCCCTTTTTCTATACTCCTGCAGAACACTGATTTCTCTACTTTTTACTTGTTGAACTCTTTATTAAGTGATGGCTTAACCTCTGATTATAAATTAAAAGTATGCTACTGTAAAAATTTAAAAAAGAGAAAAGAAGTAAGAAGGATGGAGGGAGGGAAATACTATTATATTCCTAAAATTGCATCTTTGAACTACATGAAATCCGTCCTGTTAATATTAAGCAAAAAAAAAAAAAAAAAAAAAAAAAAGCCCAATGGATGGCTTCCTGATGAATAATGTTCTGTAATTCTGTCTTCACCATTAGCCATAAAAACTAGATTGTACTTGTGCTCGGACCATCTTATACCCATCAAGCCAGAGCTCTCCCTGCAGTTACAGACTAGGAGGTTAACAATGGGGAAGCTGCACGTGGGGTTTATTGCAGCTCTGCACAACCCCATAACTTTTACACAATTCTGAAACTGAGTTAAAAATAAATAAAAATAAAAACTTCTTCCACTATCTGTTTTTTCCTCCACTTCTTCCTCATGCACATTAATTCTTGGTTCTCTCATCGCTCTTCTAATAAACATATAAACTACACATGTTGCATAACAGACTTCCACATGCTACACACAATCACTAAAGGAGAAAATACAATTTCATTACAAGTAAATCATCTCAGGGCAGTGCAGTAGAATCAAGTTCCTTCTAATTTTATTATTCAAGGCGAGTCGCAGACATCTTTTAAAATTATTGCTTGTTTAGCGGGTGGTTTCATTAGACGTAGTGAGATCTTACATGCAGTTAATAAAGAGTTTCAAAGGGAAATGTCCAGGCCTCCTAGAAGGATCTTCAGTTCTTCCATCTGCCAGGCAGTTCTCTGTCATTCACAACATGCCACATCCACAGAGAGCGGACGGGGCTGAAACACAGGGCCCATCGCTCAGTCCTGAAGCGCGGTCGCCAGCAGCTCCCCTGGGTCTCGGCTCCGTTACAAGGCCCTGACGGAGCCTTCCATGCATGGGGCTGCAGCAGATCTCAGGGGTCATGAACAGCGTCTCATTCCCGGGGGCCTCCCAGTGACCATGTCCAAAGACAGACAATTCAAGTCCTCAACTGTGAGGTTCTTGGGACCCGGGGTTCTGCCCCAGAGCAGCGATCAGCAGCGCACTGGACAGCAGACACCACAAGTGAGCGTGCACCTGCTGACTTCAGAGCATTCTTCCATCCACTCTACAAAGCTAGAACCTGACCTCAGGCTTTGCGCTGGTCACAGATGGAAATACAGCAAGGGGTGGGAGTCAGAAGCCTTGATTTGAATCCCGAATGAACCAGCATCAGGCTAACTCAGATCTGCACAAGACCTCACCTGAGCTACAGTAGCTCATTCACCAGGGGCTCGACTCACAGGGCTCTTTTCAATGTTTAGAAGAAGGTTCCTAGAGCCACTGGGTGTCACAAGACTGTAGCTGTTGTCACCACAGACCTCGCTCGGACTTTGGCATGTAACCAGCGCCATGCGCACAGGGGGACGTGGTGGACCGGGCAGATGGTCACAGGTCAGAGGCATCACACGGAGTCCTAGCAGGGCGCAGCTGGAAGGCCTGGGGCAAAGCTCCCCAGGTTACAGGAGCTACCCCAGGGCCTGTTCACAGAATCCACGGCTCCTCCCAGCAAGCATTCCTTCACCACAGGTTCTCTCACACAGTCTGTCCACACGACGCAGTCATGCTCATCCCTCATGTGTGGAGGGGGCTGTGTACACAACACTCCGTCTTCATTAGTGTGGACAGGACTTTCCCTCAAAAGTCAAGATGATTTCACTCAGCATATTTTTAAACACTGAGCTACTTATTGGCATATTCAAAAATATATGTCTGCAAAACAAATAGGGACTTTACATGATTGACAGTTTTTCTGAAATGAAAAAGTACTGAGTTTTTGTTTTCCTGTTGTTATAACCAAGCTTACACTGCCTACAATCAGAAATGAGTATGATTCCTCTCAAATAATATTTATCAGTGTATATTTTATGCAGTATTTCACTCAACTGCATCAAAGTATGGTTCAGAGTTACTTAAAAGTTTTCTTTTAAGGTTTACTGACTTCTAGACTTGAGGTTATCCAAGAATTCAGAAACCACTTACTTAGGACCTAATGTTACACAGTTTTTAGATTAGTAAGAACATGCTAATCTCCTAACCCAAACTGCTCTGCAGTCTTCCACACTGCCAGCAGGAGCTTCCAGAAGACTTAAAATGGAAGAGCAAGTAGAATAAAAAGTAGAGAAATCCATTCCACTGAATTACGGCATTGCAAACCAGTCACTGTGGACTTAGGAGGAAGTAAGTCACTTTAATCTGAAGCGTCCCTTGGCCTTCGCACAGAACGTCTGAGGAGGTCAAGGGGCACCCCTCACAGCTCCACCTCCAGCCCCTTGCTTAGGGATGACAGGCTTTGTGCATGTTCTCTTCATAGTGAGTTTAAAGTCACTTGAATTTGTGCATCCATGTAGATGCGAACACAATTTTAAAATCCTAGATCTTGAGAATGTGCGTGGGAAGAACCAGGCCACCCTCCGTCGCACACACCAGCCTCATCATCAGGGCACACTGCTTCCTTTGCACCGGGCAAAGCAGGTGGCTGGAGCTCATGGTCCAGGGCACTAACTCTGGTTGCTCAAATCTTTCTCCTTCCATGCCCTAATGCCAGGCCACCCACTCCCCTGTCCCTAGCCTCTTGAGAGTCCCCGATCTCTTGACACAGCTACAGGAGACAGGAAGCTATGTTGGAACCCTTAGGGACTGAGGGGCATTTGCAGGTAGAGCTTGGGTTTTACGCATCCAGGCAGGATCTAGGTGCCCCTGTAACCCGCAGCAAGGTTTGTGTCTTGCTCTGGCCCAGCTTCTCCATGTGGGGACTATACTGTGTGTTCCAAGGACAGAAGAGAACTACTTCCATTCTCATTTTACATTCCTTTCAGTTCTCAATGTTGTGACCACGTTTAAAAGTCAGAGTAATGTGGAAAAGATAGTATAGGGTATCAGGAAGGTTTAATGATTACTATTATGTGCTAGGCACAATGCTAGAACACTCACATGAATCACAGGATTTAATTCTCAAAACAACCCCTAACTTTAAATACCATTGCATGTTCCCACATTCAAACAAGCTAAGATCAAACATTTAAATAATCTTGCCAAGATACATAGCTATTACAGTTATTTCAGTCTGCATATACTCTAAGTATACTCCATTGCACTTTCTCAAATCAATTGCAAAAATAAACAAGAATGATTTATACAGAGATATACAGATTCATTTACATATCAATATCTAGTATATAGATGGATGGAATGAGAGAAATACATGACAGATAGGTGGATTAGATGTTGGGCTAGGTGATAGCATATAGACATGTTAATGATAGACAGGCACGATTATGGATAGAGAATACCTTCCTTGAGAGGAAAGGATGATGGGATGGTAAGACAGATGATGGATGGATGGATTAAATGAAAGGTTAGGTGATGGCAGATACGTGTTAGATGATTGACAGAGTTGATGATGGAGAGATGACTAATACATGGCTGGAGAGGAGAGGATGGTGAGTGGTGATGAACCGGTCCTTTACCTTTAGAATATCTCCTTCAAAGAGCTGGAAGCTTCGAGCCCTGAGATGAATCCCCTTGCCTGCTTCTGTCTCTATTTTATAGATGCATTCGTGGTTATTGTCGTAGTTTGATGGGAAATTTGGAGACAGTAATGTTCCCTCATTTCCTTTGACACTTGCTCCACATTCAGCTAAAAAAAAAGAACATTAAGGAAAAGAGGATTCAAAAGTGGAATTACTGATATTAATAGAGCAAAAACTTCAAAGTTATGACAGCTCTCTCTTCTATCAAAGTATGCCTGTTATTCATGTGTCTTTTGTTCATAACATTTTTGTACTGTTTATCTAATGGAGAGAAAAGCTATCCCATTTACCCCATTTTCAAGATTTTCTCATTCATTTGAACAGAATGACCTCTTTTTCCACAGAAGCAGCCTGTCATCATAAGACAGGTGTAGGATAAACAAGATACCCTGCAAGTGTTGTGGCTCCCCCACTATCTCCCAGGGTGGCCACCTACCTCTCTGTCTGCCGCATAAAACACCCCAGCAGATCCCCATGTGCCAATTCTGCACTTAATTGCTACAGTTTCCCTACATGGCGCACACCAAGGAGGGATCTAGGGATGGGATAAAGCCTCTGAGTTGCTTCCTAATGGGCCTTGGCTCTGAATGCATTCACATTCTAACTCCAATGGAACAGAGTTCAATGGCAGTAAACACATTCTCCGCCCCATTTCCTGAGGAAAGAAGGGCATAGTTCATTTCCAGATCCAGGTTTGCATAAAACAGAATGCCTTTAGTCAAGGTAAGAGTGAAAATAAGCAGAGCAGAGCTTCTATTTCCTGTTGGCTCTCAGAACATCTCCTGACTTCGGAATACCAGTATTGTCCCCCGGGAATCTGAACGCTTTTGTTGAAAACTTCAGCTCTAAAATTATGTGAGTTCAAAATAATAGTGAATAATAAGGTTGCTACACAACACACACACACACACACACGTGCACCTACATGCAAGTGAAAACACATCAGAATTCTGCAACAATTCGTTTATTTGCCACCTTAGCATTTTTTAAACATTGTATTCATTGGAAGAATAATGATCAGGTTGGGACCAAACATCAGGAAAATGTTGTTTAAGTGATGAGAGGGGAGAGGGATGTATTGTGCTGAATTTCAGAGTCTGGCACCTAAGGTATTGTGTTTTATCACATATATATCTATGCAGCATATGATGTGTAATACGTACAGTTGTGACTTGTGGCCCCCTCCCACAGTGCTGATCACTCTAATCCCTCCCCTTTCTCTGTGACTTACTAAATCACTTCTGTCAGGAGCAGTGATTCCCTATCCTGAGGGAGAGAAGGAAACTCCTGGAGATTCCCGCTGAGGTCCCGAGGATTGTCCTCATTAACTCATTAATGACTGCCACCAGTCCACTGCAGGGGCTTTCCATGTGGAGAGCCAGGGCTGCAGCAGAAGTCAGCTTACGAAGAGCCCTGGCAGCTCTGCCAGCCAAGAGTTGGGCCACAGGAAACAGATCTGCTCTGGAGTCGAAGGCTCCAGGTCAGGGCCACAGGCCTTGTCCACTCTAAGCTGAAAAGCCCTTCACTCGGCCCAGCTTCCACAGTAACCACTGCTGTCCAGGGGATGGCCAAGTAGGGTCAGCAACATCGCAGGCAGAACTGGAAATTAACTAAAAATGTTTTCCTTTTAGAAATGCCACATACCTTCTCTTCAGGCCAGCCCACCTCCAGGGTGCATTCCTGACAAGGTTCACACCTCCCTTATGATGTACCCCACTAAGAGATAGGTAGGTCTGGGCCTAGTAACTGGCAAGGCCTTAAAGCCCACCTGATTATTTTCAAGCCCTTTCTGTCAGTTTGTATTTGCCTCTCAATAAAAAAACTTGCTCATGGTTTAGACACTTTTCTTAGGGCCTCTAATAATGACTCTGTCCTTGGTTTTAGATCCTGTGAGTTTAAACTGCTTGTTAGATTTGTTTCTTCCAGACTTAAAAAAAAAAAAAAAAAAGTAAAATTCTAGGTGGCCTGCACATAAAGCTTCCAACGGAAGCTGTTTCTGCAAGTAGGCTGGCATCCCCCTGGAGAAGCCCCCTCCTGCTGAGAATCCACCTGCCCCTTGAACCCCGCCTTGACTCCCCTTCCCAAAGACGTGACACTTCAGCACGAAGCAGCCAGAGTGATCATCGTCCAGTCCCTCCTAACAGATGTCAGGGTTTCAATCTTCAGGGGGTGGGAGTGTGAGAAGTAGATGGGTTAATAGGTAGTCGGGGATCCCAATGGAATTGGGGTGTAAAATATTTGCTTCCTTCACCAAAATGTTATCTTTAGCAAGAATAAATAGGCCGCCCTCCTTCCTTCGGAATCTCCAAAATTACCACCGAGCTCAAAGCTTATTGTAAAAACAAGTTACCTAGCCCACCCTTAGCAGGCCAGACAGGATGGGGAACTGTAAATGAGGCCTTTTGATGGTTTTGGTCCCCGCCTGGTAACTGAATGCCAATCTATCAAGGTTTTTTTTTTTTTTTTTTTTGGTTTTGTTTTGTTTTGTTTAGGAAAGTGTACTTAAAAAGCCCACTGCTACCAGTCTCTTTGGGTTTATTCCTCTCTTGGAAGCCCCTCTCCATGCCACCCTGGCTGGAGGCCTTTGACTCTAATAAATACTTTTAAATCTAAAAAAAAAAAAAAAAAAAAAAAAAAAAAAAGCCATGTCCCCCTGTAGTAAGGTGCGGGAGAAATCAGGAAGGAGAATGCTGAGACTCCAGGCTTCCCTCTCTTCAAATCAGACACCGAGGCAGGCTTTGGATGGGGCTGGAGGAGGGTGCATTGGGAGGGAAGCACAAGGAATTGCTAAGTCAAGGAAATGGTGATGAGATTTTGTATTTTTTTTAAAAAATCACAGTGATGTCTGATAACAGTTGATGTACAAGTATATGGCTATCTAGTGATAATCACATTTTAAAAATATCTTAGAGAGAGCAGGGCAAGCGATGAGTCTGTGAGACTCAGTCCTACAGCCCTCCCAGCCATCACAGTGAAGGCGAAGAAAAGGGCTTTATGCTTAGAGGTCAACAGTCCACCTGGGTCAGGTCAGTGAGCTTTGCAGGTGGGGGTGGTGCCGCTGGTGGTAAAATTCGTCAGTGATGAATTAGTCAGTATTTTTCACTCTTTTCCTTTCCTGAAGAAACAGTGTTTTAAAAATAAAAGCCATTTGGGTCCGGGCACCCGCATGGGAGACAGGGAGGAAGCACCCGGCTCCTGGCTTTGGATCCGCGCAGCGCCGGCCGCAGCTGCCATTAGGGGAGTGAACCAACAGAAGGAAGACCTTTCTCTCTGTCTCTCTCTCACTGTCTATAACTCTCTGTCTCTCTCTCTTACTGTCTAACTCTGCCTGGCAAAAAAAAAATAAAAAATAAAAGCCGGCCGGCGCCACGGCTCACTAGGCTAATCCTCCGCCTTGCGGCACCGGCACACCGGGTTCTAGTCCCGGTCGGGGCGCCGGATTCTGTCCCGGTTGCCCCTCTTCCAGGCCAGCCCTCTGCTGTGGCCAGGGAGTGCAGTGGAGGATGGCCCAAGTGCTTGGGCCCTGCACCCCATGGGAGACCAGGAGAAGCACCTGGCTCCTGGCTTTGGATAGGCGCGGTGCGGCGACCGCAGCGCGCCGGCTGCGGCGGCCATTGGAGGGTGAACCAACGGGAAAGGAAGACCTTTCTCTCTGTCTCTCTCTCTCACTGTCCACTCTGCCTGTCAAAAAATTTAAAATGAATAAATAAATAAATAAAAGCCATAATAAGTGGAAAGGACATCAAAGCAGTAAAGCAATGGGGCCTCCTCTGCCTGCTCCACAGAGAGAGTCGTGGGGGAGTTCAAACCAAAAATGGAGGCAGTTGACTTAGGAAAATCGTTGAATTCTAACAGTCAGAGCATGGAACCTAGTCACGAATGTTAGGATGTTTTCTTTAAAATTGAATTTGACTATTGCTCATCAAAAACATTCAAAAATTTAATTTAGGTCTCTTAATGCAATCCACTTATCGATTTGGAAAGAATTCACATAATCCAAGAGGTGATACAAGCTGCCACCGTGTGAAGAAGTTGCCTTCAGTCTCACGGCAACTTTCCAGGAAACCTTCGGGCAGCAAGCACTGAGGAGAAGTGTGCTTGCTTGACCGTGCTTCCCGAAGTCCCCGCCCAATGCACGGTGTGTGCTGGGTACCCACTGTGAAGTACAGGACACCTCAGTTGAGGACCCTGCAGGGCCAGTGCAGGAGAGGCCAGGAGGACAGAGGGGACTTGGAAGTGACAAGGATCCTTCCGACGGAGCATGGGTGGAGTCCACGCATCCTGAGGTGCACTCTGCCTCCCATTTGAAATCCATGCATTTTTTTCCATAATACACCTTTTCCAGGAACTTTTTGAAGTACCCTTCATTTTTCACACATTATTTTTTGAGAAAGCACTTTTTTGAGGCATGTACTACAATTTAATTTTGCTTTCAAATTAAATCTACTAGTGTATGAAAATAGATATAGTGGAATCATAAAACAAAGGCACTGAAAAGTGCCAGAGAGATTGAGAGATGCGTAGTAAGCACCCAGACTCAGGCCTGGAGAAATCACTAAGGAAAATAAGACAATAACATTATAAAAGCAGCATCTTACCAACTTACAAAACTTAAGGCCATCTTTGGACATGATTTAAGATCTCTCCTGTAAATCTCCATTACCACAGCCATTAAGTGTTTTATTTTTAAAATTTTTCAATAATTTGTTGAGTATTACTTTAAGATGAATGAATTCCATTTTTCTTAGTATGAATCATTTCCTCTTTGTAAAGAAATTTCCGAAACTGTAATTAAAACTCAATTGTCATTTATAGCTCTGCAATAGAGCTAAGCTAATTAAGGTAACAGACAGGAGCCACCTGGTTTTCCAGTGACTTCTCCCATGCAGCATTACCCACTGTTAGGCTGGCTATCTCGGCCCTCTTGTGTGGAACAGAGGGCTGCAGCCTGGGCACCTTGCACCGCAGACACTTCTTCCTCCCGATGTGGAGGCCAAAGTGCAGACCCACCACACCAACTGTGGGATCTGCAGGATTCGATCAGTATTCAGCCTTTAGAGGTTTTTACTGAGACTACTAGTGTGCTGTTTGTTAGGTTATAAAATAC